TCAGCAGGCACTTTCCCTTGGCAGCCACCAGCTTCTCCCGCAGCTGCTCTCGCTGTTGCAAGGTCTTGGGGTTGATGACTTCAGCCTACCATATGTCCCTTCTCCACATGCCATATCCTTTTCAACAGCATTGACCTCCAAGGATTTCAGCCCCAGCTTTGTCCAATTTGTTGGTTTCCTCCATGCTGAGTGACGAGGGATCTCCTGAACTAATTTTGGAACTGGCAGCGGCCTTGTGGCTGTCACCTTGCTTCTCCCTCTTCATGGACCTCTCTGAGGGGCTGGCCCGGCTGTGCTCCACCTTGTGTGCTACTGTGGTTCTCAGCATGGGCACTGTGCTGCCCACTATCACGCTCGCCTACACGCTCCCGGTTCCGCTTCTGCTGTTCACTGCAGCTGCTGCCACCCCCGCCACTCTGGTGCATGTGCTTTTTGTGCTCCCAATGCCCCAGCAGCTGCTCGGTGGCGCCTTCAATGCCTGCAGTACAGTCGTCGCCCCTGCCCCTCTTCTTTGACGACCCCCATGGTGGTACCTCTGCTGGGAGCCTGGCAGCCAGCCAGATATATTTTTAAGAAAACTCACTAAGGATGGAAAGAGAATGCCCTTTTATAAAGAAAGGTCTCTATAATCTATAATCATTTAGCTGGGTAAATATTTGCATTTTCTATGGAGAAACTGATTGGTTTTCTGAACTGCTAAGCCAAACCAAAAGCAAAAAAATGTTTGACAGAATTGCATGCTAAGTAGCCAATACCAAACTTATTAAGCTGTATAGTAATTCTTGGCCATCTAAGATCAAAAGTAAATCGTTAAGATCTGTAATTTGAATGAATTCCATGTCAAATCACCTATAACAATCTATTTAATAAAAAATGCAATGCACCCAAATTAAAGAGGTAAAATTGGTATAAAAGGATATAAATCCAACTAAGCATGAGCTCGTGGAGGGCATGACAGCCTGTTCTTAAGTCCTTCTTACAGCTCACATTATTAAGTTAACACACTTTGATCATTCCCATGGTTGGTCCTTTAACTTTTATGAGAATGAAATAGATGGGTTGGTCTATTAGTAAGATTGTTCAGTTCTGCATCGAGAGATTCCTTAGACAAGTTTTGTTGTTATTGTTGTGTATTTCTACATGTTCATAAGTTACTGGTATATGCTAAAAGTTACGGTTGCTGAAAATTGAAAATTCTGATCAATACAGATATATGTAATTCTATTAATATGTACAAGTTTATAAGCTTAATAACTCAGAGAAATATCAGAATCTCCCAAGGTGGGGGAGGAAAAGATAAGCATGGACAATTAGTAAAAACTGGGCCTTTGTATCAGGGCTCAAAAAACAAACAAACAAACAAACAAAAAATCAGGAGATTTAGCTATAAAAATGAGAGTTTAAATTAAGATTGTATTTTCCAGCTGGAGCTTTTGTATAGCCAATAAAGTGGA